ATTATTATATAATATTATATATATACACATAATGAAATGATGGTTTGTGATCCCTGGTGCAGAACATCATGTATATTGCAGCTGTTATGCAAGTGTTCAGATGCCATGCTCCTTTGACAATGACACATCACATGTACGGCTATATTTAACTCTTGGCATGCTTTTGTGCTGAATGACTCAGATTTGTTACCATAGAAACAGGGGTGAGATTTCAGTGCGGTTTATGTAATTGGATCTGAGGGATTGGGACCTCTCTGGATAATGGAGCAGGTTCAGCCTGGAGACCACTCAAGGGCATTAACCCCTTGTTGACTGGCATAGTCTACGAAAGGTTTACCGTAGCTTAACATCTTCGAACACAGTGTAACTTTTAATTTACTTTGGATTTGGACTTTTGTTTGTGTGTTTGCAGATGAACGGTGTTTGCAGATGAACGGTGCCAATTCCGAAACCTCTGAGATCCAATTTGGCAGCCTGAGTCCTCTCCTTCGCCTCCCACTGTCGGACATCTCCTCCTCTGCCTGATTCTCTTCATCTCAACTTTCTTGGACAACCACCCCCTCCTCCAGCGCCCGCGCCCCAACCTGAGAGGAAGCCCTGAAGCCACCTTTTCATCTCTGAACACTGCAGCAGTAACGATGATGGGGCAATCTCTGGGATAGAAGTTGACATCTGTAATTGTGTTTTTGTTTGTTGCACTACTTCTCCTACTAGTGCATAATGCCATTTATTAGTGTGAACATATTGATGTGAGTATCTTGAGGTAGGAGGTCTTTCCTGCAGCCGCTATCTTTTCTCTCAAATCACCTTCATCAGTCCCTCCACTTTTCTCTTTGCAACCTCAGTTTCCTCTTTAACATTCTTCTTCCCTCTCTCTACACGTCATCTTTTTTTTTGCATTAAGGGAAGGATAGCAAGAGATAAAAACGGTGAAGTAAATGGCAGAATAGATTTGAACACACACCCGAATCTCTCCGTTGTCGTCCCCAGTCGCGAGGCACTGGCTGTCCCAGGAGAATCTGCAGCTTCGGACACAGTCTTGGTGACCGCTTAGCGTGTGGAGGCACTGCCAGGACTCACAGCGCCAGAGCTAAGAGCAAAAAATAATGCATGAAAAAAAGTGAAAAACTGAAATCAGTATTTTAGTTTTTCAAATTATTAAAAAATACAGAAATGTTCATATTCAGACTTGGTTAGTGCAAAAGTCTGCATGCACTGGATGGATTTACCTCATTTTTACACTACACTAGAACTGAAGGGAGCAACACGATCCTATCGTAACCCATTTAGAATAAGACTAGGTACTTTCTGTAACACAGGCCATTTAAACTGGATGAATTTCTCTGGGAAAGAGAGTGATATTGCACTGTAGATGAAGTATAATTAGAAAAACCAACATAGAAGTGTTTACAGGGAAATAACAGGACATATAATTGTGCCAAATACAGAGTTAATGTTGTTATAGCACTGCATAAGAACAATGCAACTGTTAATGAGCACTCTCCCACTCTCCCCTTTTCCTTTTTGTATCTTCTATTCCTGCCTTCTTTTCTCTTTCCATCCTAGTCTGCTGTCACTGTTTTTCATCCTGACCCGGTTGCATCCTGTTCTGCACAGAAAATAACAGCTCATAATTAGACCCTTCATTTGGCAGCCAGCTAACTATGTCTGCACACAAAGTCCCATTCATATGAAGGTCAGGAGAAAAAGAAAGAAAAAAAAACGGAGAGAAAGAGACAGAAGAAGAGGGATAAGCAGAAGTGCACACTGTCTCTCTTTTTGTGGTGTTCAACAAAGACACTCAAGGCTGAGCGCTCTGGTTGGACCTCGAGATAGACAGAGATCCGGGGCTTGTTTGTTTTGAGCTACCAAAGCCCCTCAGTCTGTAAAGCATGGACTTTGTAGCTGGCTGCTAACCAGCCACACACACACACACACACACACACACACACACACACACACACACTTACACAAACAAACACGAAGCTCAATTATCATCTTTGCCAAATCCATAAAACACACATTCTCTCTCACTACCATTGACAGACAGAGGCCAGGTTGGACGGCAACCTAGTGGCTGCAATCTACAGGAAGAGCAAACCCAAATTCCCGTGTGAAACTCGGTGGCAGTGGCTCGAGATGAACTGCTCGCAGCTTTGCATTGTTTCGTTCATGCTGGACACTGAGAAACACAAGTTGTCATCCGTGTCTGAATATGAGCGAGGAGAGACGCGAATCTAACACTGAACCCCCGACAGTGAAAATAAGACAGTTTCAAATAGCGCACAGTCGTAATGCAGTTCAGCTTGTGCAGTTCAGCATGGTTCAGTATTCTGTGGACGATGAGTAGGAAAAGCAATTATTTAAGAGAAGTTTGGGGAAAAAGGCAATATCCAGTCTACAGAGTCGGTCAAAGTCAGGCTAAAGTCAAGCACAGCAGTGTTGGTGAACAGCATCCTGGCAAAAACTACATCCAGACAGCGAAGTGGGTCAGTTTGCTTGTCAGCCCATCTGCCAGGCTGGTGGTTCAGCAGGTCCACAGGCTCTGCCATTTAGTCAGACTAAATAATCACTGAACGTGGGTGTTGAAGGACCGGCTGACCAGCAGCTTATTTACCAGACCTGACACTGTCGCTGCTGCACACTTTAGTCTCTAAGGTCCCTCACCACCCTGCTGGTGAAACCTTTAGCCTCAGACATCACCTGCGGCAACGCGTCTATGTGCTGTAGGTAACAAGTTTGGAAAGAGGCTGGCGGGAAGGCGTTGACGTGTAATAGGTCGCCTCATTACTGGCAGCACAAGCAGATATGTCTCATCCCGTAAAAATTAGTATTAATGTGTGTGAGTGTGTTGAACCTTAGCAGTCTTGTCAGCAGAGGTGGTGGCGAACAAGCAACCGTCTGGAGAGACATGACAGGACAGAATGGCTCCCTGATGAGCGTTGATGTCCTGCAGCTTCTCTCCACTTTCTATGTCCCACACCTCGAGAAAGACAGAGATGATTCAATATTTGTTTTATTTTGTGTGTGTGTGTGTGTGTGTGTGCGTGTGCGTCTGAGCGTCACCTTGACAGTACCGTCGTAGGACCAGGATAGCAGTCTTGTGTCGGCCTCTGAGCTGTTGAGCCGAGAGAAGCACCTGACCTGCTCTCTGTGACCCTGGAGTACTCTACCCTCGCCAGACTGCCACCTCCACACCTACAGGGGGTAGAAGAGAGATATTAGACACTGATGCTCTTCACTTCACCCCCCCCCCCCAAAAATGACATTGAAGCATCTTGATCCTTGCCCGGTGGCAGGCTGCAGTATGAGTGAAAACCCCCGTTTCCTCTGTGTCGGTGGATGGGACATGGGCTAACCTGAAAACGTTTAGTTTTTCCCAGCGAATATTTCACGGACCTTGATGAAAAATAAGATCGGCCACATTTAGGGATCTGATCTTGGTGTGTGTGTGTAATTAGGTGCAGTTTGGTTAAATTTAAAAAAACTGTTGTCATTCTAGATCAATCTGTCAATGTTCTCCTGATGGTGTTCATTTTGTCAGTGGTGGTACGTTCACACTCGCTTCTTTGTTTTAGTGGAGATTCAGGTAAAATTAATTTCGGACTGGTGTGTGTTTCTTAAATCTCTACAACTGAGAAATGGTGAGTTAGAAAAAAAGTTGTAAAGAAACCTGGATCCAGACTTTTCCTTAAAGTACCTACAAATAGCCACGCTGATAGAAAAGGACATAAAAGTAGTGGCAAAGAAAGAAGTAAAGAAAAAACTGCTTTCAAACAGCAATGTGTTGTAGCCACGTAGCATCCACCAATCATCTGACAGGGAGGGAGCTATAGATGCTGCAGTGCAGCCTCATACATACAGGGAAGTAATATATCAGTGCGCTTCTGAGTGCAGAAGAAACTGCTTGTGGAACAGCAGATCACAGTATTTCATGTTCTATTCTATACATTTTTTTTGGGTGTCTTAGGTGCAGAATTTATGCCAATGCAACCTCACATTGGTGTACATACTGCTTGTTTTATGCCTGTGTACAAGCAGGTGAATGAGTCGAGATCAGAGTTCAGCTGAGCTCAATGAGGTCAGGACAGACAGCATCATCCAGATCATTTTATCATGCACGTATGCTATGTCGCCACTTTTCCTTCTCTGAATAGACTCTGTCATGTGTCCAAAGGTTATAATCCATCACCAGCTAACATCAGTGTCATTAGATCTCTTTACATTCACTCTGCGTCTGCATTAACATCTAAATACACACTTCCATTTCCGAGCGGGCACACGTCAAACAGCATAAATTTGAATAAGCAGCGGACGGCCCGGGAAAAGTGATGTTGCAGGAAGCTGCAGCATGAATACGGAGCGAGGCCCTGCTCTGTCGGAGAGAGAGGAGGAAGTGCTGCAGTGGACAGGTCTGTCGGCAGAAAAGAAAAGATGAAGAGGAGGAGATGAGAGGGGGAAGAGGAAAGGGGAAATGAGCAACAGAGCATGAAGGGTGGGGGTTGAGAGAGGGTAATGGGCCGAAATACACACATACCCACACACAAACATAGACAGTTCCGGTCAAAACGAGAGCGGGAGGAAGATAAAGATTTATCGAGAGCGACACAGCCGAAGGCAAATGAGATGAAAGAGGGGATGAAGAAGGGAGAGGTGAAGAGGCTGGGGAAAAAAAAGATGGCAGAGTGTAACAGGTAGGGAAAGGTGAGAAAACCACAGAGAACCGAATGACTGTGAGGATGAGCGATTCAGCAGAGCAGACGGTTTTACTCAAGGTGAGGAATGGGGATGAGGGTGAACAATAATCAATAGCAGGGAAGAAAAATGGGAGGGAGGTTGGGGGAGGGAGGTAAAAGAACACGGCATCAATTAGGCAAGAAAAGGATGGTGGGGTGAGGGAGAGAGTGATGAATGGAAGAAACACAAACAGGAGCAGACAGAGAGTAACAAAAAAAAGCATAAATGGAGGAAAAGAGGAGCTGCACACCCTGATGGTGGTGTCCTCGGAGGATGTGATCAGGGTTTGGCCGTTCTGGCTGAACTGGCAGTGCAGCACCGTCTTCGTATGTCCCAGCAGAGTGGCCAGAAGCTTCCCAGAGGGCACTTCCAACACCTGCAAGAAAGAACCAAAAAATAATCAAGTAAACAGCAAAACTGCGTCTCAGCTTCTCCACTCTTAGGTGACATAAGGTTCAACCCCGGCAACATCTGCACAAGTCTTGAATGATATCTGATTTATACTCGGGGAGGAAAACTGTCCCAGAGTTTCCCTTAAAAAACAATCCTGACAAGCAGTCGCATTTCGAGGGAGGACTGGAAGCACATCAAAAAAGAAAGCGGAGAAAGGGGGAAAAGTTATAATGTAGAAATAAGCCCTAGAGATTCTTTCACAGGATATTTAATGCTGGTTTGGAGGCGAGACTGACAGGTGACGGGTCGAGCCCATGTAACGATGGGACCTAGCTACTACGGCGCCATCCTCCGGTCTCTACTGAGCAGACTCTATGTGCAAGATGGCAGCGTTAGCATCTGAGATATTTTAGCTTAATTTCAACTTAATTAATAGAAGACATCCATCTTTATTTACAGTCTATGAAACACACAAACACACTCACACACAAAATTCCTCTAGAGCCACTTTGGTTCCTAGTTTTTAAGTCATTCTCATAGACTTCTATAGAAAATAACTTATTTTTCCAACCAGAGGAGTCGCCTGGAAATGGAATAAAACGAATTAAATACAGCAGCACAACATTTTCTTAACTGCAGCAGAGCAACTGTATTTCTGACAGTATAAAGGACAGACCTGTGATGTTTGAAATATTTACATCTCAGTGGACAAGGTTAAACTGTCTGAGCAGAACAAGCCCGGGGGTAAGACAACCATGTTTCCAAAGGCTCTAAGCACTGAGACGTGAGACTCAGAGACCCAGAGAGAAAACGCTTGGGCAGGTTTCACACACCCAGCTCAAAGATTTCTGGGATGGTGCATTGAGGAAACATTCCAGAGGGCGTTGGGCAAAGAATATGTAAATATATATATATATATGTATAAAACCAGAGGAAAGACTTGTTTAAAGTGCCACTGCCAAGGGAGTAAACACGTCTCTGAAGTCATGTTAAGTCAGAGAAACATCGATGACAGTGGTGAAGGAACGAGATGGTCAGTGTTGAGGCTGCGCTGATTGATGACACATACAATAACAACAATAATCTGTCGATTCTGCTGTTATGCTTTGAAAAAGTAATGAACAAACACACAGATATTACACTTTTCCCTTCGGCCGACCACAGTCCCTGACTAGCTGTGGGTCCTGCTGCCTGATACACACACACGCACAAACATGCACACAGACACACACACTCCTAGATACTTTCACGATCATGAAGAAACACACAGTGACGTTCGGTTTTCTCCTGCATGTGTGTCATGAAGACTTTAACATTTAAATTAAGGTGTTTCAGACATCAGAAGCTGTGAATGAAGTTCATGAATTATTAGTCATTTTTTTTCTCCAGTTAACTGATGGTAAATAAGACCAGAGGAGGAAAGAGGAAATAAATGCCTCCTCCCACTGCAGCAGTCAGTGGCACTTCCATGTAGCACCACAGCTCCCTCTGGTGTTAGCTCAGGGGACTACAACAGCAAATGCTGAAACTCCCTCAGGATTAAAAATGAATCTATAACTGTCGTTGGAGATAAGTGATTAAGTATAAGTTATATATGTTATATTCAATTTGCAATTTTTTAAATAAACTGGATATACGACAAGGGTTAGGGAAAGTGTTTAACACCACTGGTGCAAAATTCTTGGCTCGACAGTGAGTCGACCTCAACCATGTGCTTTACATGCACCAGACACATACGTTCACAAACACACACCTGCCACCACGCAGAATAGGACTCCATTCTCTGCCTGCAAACAACAATTTATCACAAAGACAAAGAGCGGAGGAGCCCAGAGAGCAGGGGGGGGCCGACGGAACAAAAAAGAGAAGGAAAGATAAAGGAAACAAAAGAAGGGTTGAAAAGAAAGAGCAGTGTGTGACAGAGACTTGAGAGCAGGTGGGAAGAATAGTGGGAGAACAAATCACAGGTTAAAAAGAGGAGTGTAAAGAAAGAGAGATGAAAGAAAGAGGCTGACCTGGTGAGCAGCTGACAGGACAGATAGAAAAAGGCGACAGTGCTTGTGTCAGATCTCATGAATCAATGTGCCCTGGAAAAAAAAACACGTCCGAAGGCAACGGGGACAAGTGTTTTACTCAGCTATACACACAAACCGTGGTAACAAACACACATACAAACTGACGCACATGCAACTTGGGCTGTTGAAGCTGGAACGAGCAAATTGACAAATCCTTTCAGCACCGGATTGACGGTTTAATAATGTTGGCAGCAAATAAAGTTTAGGAGACATAAATACTGTGTTTTCCACCTTTACTGTTCCATCCTCTTGTCCCAGAGCCACTGCAGAGGGCTGCTTGCACAGACAGGTACACCTGATCCTGGACGACTGCTCCTCTGACTGGAACAGCACTGATCCCGTCTTGCCATCACGTACCTGTGACACACATTGATTTATATAGTTGTTTTCAGACATGAATTTGGTGCTGGACCACGCAGCAGGAGATTCTCTGCTCAGACACGTTCGCAACAACACAAGTGTTCGGGTGAGGGGTGGTGCCGCAGGCAGAGGCAGAACGAAACGTATTAATTCTGCTAAAGAGATCGTGTTTTTATTTTCAGCATATTGACGCCGGCGTCGTCCCTTATCACCACAAACTCTCTTGACATCTTCTTTGTTGTCTTCTATGTATTTTCTTTCTGAGATATTGTTATATATATCAGTTCATGTGTGAAAGCAGCTTTTTTAAATTATGATTTTGGTACCAATCATACATGTCTGTACTTGATGGTAATGCTCACAGAAACATTCCTGCTTCAGCCAGTAAACTGCTCTTTTCTTCTGTTTTCTCACCTGCAGCCTGTTGCAGTTGTCGGCAGCCGATACGGTGATTTCTTCATCACAGAAGAGAACGTCAGAGTCTCTCTTCAGACAGACGGCAGAGGTGGTGTGAACCTTCTTAGTCTCCCATAACTGCGACACAAGAAACACAAAAAGAAAAATATGAAATTGAGTTTCACTTTTCTCATGTTCGTCGTCTCAAATTACTTCATGGTTAAATAAATTTACACAGAGGATCATTTTCACATTATTGATGATAACTAAATTCATTTTTTATATAACCTCAGTTATTAAGGAAGCACCCGAAGCAAGCAAACGCTAATTCGTTAATCATACAGTAGCTGTTTGTTCTTTATTTAAAGCATATTGAGGCCTAATGGAGTAAAAAAAAAACACTCCTCATACGGTATCAGACTTTGTAGAGGTGCGTGAGTGCATAAACATGAAGCTCGTCTTATTCAGTAATCAGTATATTGTGGCCTGGGTACTATATTGTGTTTTCATTCCTGAGAATTTTCTTATTAGGGCTGAGAAATCTCTCCCGGAAAATATTAGAGGCAATTATAACATAAGTGACAGTATCAGTTAAAGTTCACCCCAACAGAGCTGAATCACACACGTGTCAGTCTCACCCTGACAGTCTGGTCATCGGAGCACGAGAGCAGCTGTGATCCGTCATCAGAGAACTGGACACACTGGACCCAACTCAGGTGTCCACTGCAGTCAGCCATCTTTTTATTGGACTCCAGGTCCCACAGCTGGAAGACACACACACACACACACACACACATCATGCAGGTCATACAGCTTTTAAACACTTCTGCATTGGCTTTACTCTCCGGACACCATAATAAACAAACTGCATGTATTTCTTAAATGTTATAATATAATATGATAGAATTCTAAATCTGCATCAATTATGACATATGAAAACAAAAAACAGACACTTAATGAAAATGTGTAATTGTGTATGTGAGAGAGCATGTGCGTTCTACCTCCACAGCGTAGTTTGAGAAGGCAATGGCGAGCAGGTTACTGGTCGGACAGGCGTGACAGTACTGCACGGTGCTCAGACGATTTGTTTTGATCTCCAACAACATGTCTGACGTCTCCACATCGAACACCTGAGAAAGAGCGACACGCAGACACGCAGATGAGTTTCTGCCTTTGCACTCGGTGAATTCATTTTCAAAAAGCCATAATTTGATCAAAGTTGTTTCAATAGATAATAATCTGGCACATCAATGTATTTATAAAAAGAAGTATCATCTTGTGCCTGAACATTTGAACCTGAGGCAAACTTCATCATTAGTCTCCTCTTCCTCAGAGACAAGCTCCGCAGTGTTTGTGTTGTTTCGAATGAATGGAGACATAGAGGCTGCAGACAGACCCATGGCAGGACAAGACTGACTGATTTCAGAGAGCTCGGGAGAGGAGGGGCTGCTCGCATTTACAGCCAGGACACACGCTCTTCAGACTCTATAATAGACAACCTGACAAACAGCCTCTCGTTCCTGTCTTCTTCACCGAAATGACAACGATGAACTGAACCTTGAGGTGACGGATATTTATCTGTACGGCTGAGACAAGTACGATGCCCACAAAACAACGCAACACAGTAAACAATGTCATGCATCTCCGCCCACAGAAAGCACAAATATACTTTTCAAAATAATATTCACATACCAAAACACTGTTCCTGGCGGCACATGCGATACGTTTGCCATCTGCAGTCCAGGTGCTGCACTTGACGAGGATGGCTTCATCGCTCTCGGTAAACATGCTGTTCACGTTGATCGTCTTCCACTCGTTGGCGGACGACACCTGAAATAGCTGCATTCACACAAGAACACACAGACGTTGGAGCATGTGAGCACAGACAGCGTGCAAGTTAAATTAGTTATAAGCTCTCATTTCATTGGTCAGATGTAGAATTGAGATAATGACTATGCATCTTTTATTACCTCTGTCAAGAAGGTCCATTTCTTTGTTTGTGGGTCAGAAGGATTATGCAAAAATTCGGTGAAAGGACCGGACATGGACAAAGAAAGACCCCACTAAATTTTGGCTAAGATCTGAACAAAGGCACGGATCTGGTAACTATCTTTCTCTTACTTTAACATTCTGAGGCTTTTATCTGAAATAATTCATGGATCTTGATGAAAAGAAGATCTAGTGGATTTTGATGTTTGTGACAAGCGACATCCATTGCACTTGTTTCCATCCAAGGAGAGGGATCCCTCACTTGTGACTCTCTCTGGGGTTTCTTCTTTTTCCCCCCGATAAAAGGTTTTTCTGGTATTTTGCTCACTCTAGTCAAAGGTTAAAGGATGTCGCACCTCGTTAAGCCAGGTGAGGAAAATTGTAATTTTCGGGCAAAACTGTGACTTGTGATACAGTGATATAACTTTAAATATCCAAGACACGTTTCTTTAAAAAAGACCTTGGACAATTTTAAGCAGAGAATAACTTATTCACTTATCACATATGAACATATGCTCTGCCTCCAATTTCAGAGAAATTGTGGAAAAGTGGAGTCTTAATCTTTTAGTATCTGATACACTTGATCTTGACATATGGCACCAGGATACCGCAGTAGGCTCTTTTTACTGGCAAAATCAATGACTTCTGTACTGAATTTTTTTTTTGCACAGATTTTACAAATAATACGGCATGCTCTTCAACGCTCAGAAATCATGCAGTTTAGAAAAGTACTAAGCTTTGCCTTGGAAAAAAAACAGCTCAACATGTATCCAGTTTAATAGCACTCACCTTCACAGTGCCATCGTTGGAAGAAGTGGACAGATAGGTGTCATCAGGGGAGAAACAACAGTGGTTGACTGGTTCAAAGTGCCCAAACATGGCGTTCTGGGAGGACGGTCTGTTGAGGTTCCACAACTACAGAAACAGAGAAAGTACAAGCAAAAAGGGAGAAATATCAATAAAGAAAAAAAGAGATAAGAGCAGAGAGAGAGAATCGTCTGTATTCACAAATCACAATTTGTCTCGTAGGCTTTAACAAGATGCAACATCCTCTGTCCTTAACCCTCAACAAGATTTTTTTAAATCCTTTAACAGGGTAAAAGAAAATGTAGGAACCTCAGAGAGAGGCACATGTGAGAGATCCCTCTTCCAGGACGGACAGAAGTGCAATAGATGCCGAGTGTAGCTGAACACATGAACAAAATTACAATATTTACAACATGGATTAGAAGAAACAGTTTCTAACATAATGGAAATGTGTGTCAGTGTTTGAAGTATTTATACATAAGAAAGTGTTTGATAGAAATGAAGGGAGCAGCAATGAGAATTGAAATGGAGGAGTTATTCGCAGTAATGGTAGAATATGTGAGACGGCATATTGATAATAAAGCAGTCTTGTTGTAATCACAGTCCATGATCAGCTAACTCACAAAAAAAACATAAAAAACACTCACTCACCTTGACATTCAATAACTTGTCGTCGGAGCAGGTGGCCAGGAGGAGCTGCCGTCTCGTGTTTGTGAACTGACAGTGGTTGACCTGCTCTTCGTGCTCCACCGCAAAGACCCTCAGCAGCATGGCTCGCTCCACATTCCAAACCTTGTTCCAAACGATATAGAGATATTTCAGCATTGGTTTTTATTGTCCTCGCCGGTTCGTTGCCGGTTATGATGGACAACCCAGCCTTTCTCTTCTTACCTTAACTTTTCTGTCACTAGAGCAGGTTGCTAGGAGACGGTCGTCCGGGGAGAAGGCGCAGCAGAGCACCTCATCATCGTGGGCCTGGATCTCTGTGAGCTTCTCGCCCGTGGTGCTTCTAAACACCTGAGCAGGCAGGTACCATTACAGTAAGTTACTGACTGAGCTCATTAGCACAACTTTACTACAGATTCACTTCTGGTTTCAAAGGTCCCGGGATGGAACTGGTACATTTTCGAGTGAATGACCCTGAGGGGGTCATAAGATTTTACAATCAGACCCTAATCTTATATAATTCTTATTTGTTGCCCAGGACCAGATAAAAACTTTACAAAGCCCATTCTACTGCATTATATTTTCCAGTATTTTGTCTCCATGGAAACTATTTTTCTCTCTATCCTCCCTTGCAATCTCACTTAAACACGCACACACATAAATATATATACATTTATATATTCGCAAAGAAACAAGTGCTGCTTTGATACCTTGAGTGTCTTGCTGGCTCCACAGGTGGCGATCTTGGCTCCGTCATGGGAGAAGCAGGCAGAGTAGATGGAGCCCTGGTGAGGGTGGATCACCAGACGGGAGAGAGTCTCCACACTGCTCTTATTCCTGGACAAACACACACACACACACACACACACAAAGAATAGTCAAAACTAGGATACACAACCCATGATCACCATGAACAATTTGAAAGCAGACAGAGAGGCAAGAAGGAATACAATTGCACCTGATCTGCATATATACAACAAATAATTTGAGCACACATCAAACACCATGTAAAATAGTTTGCTTGCATACAGCCAGTCAAAGTAGAGTTGTCCCTCGCTGGCCCGGTGCTGTGCCTGCAGCAGAGCCTGTTTATAGACATCGGATGAGTGTGGCTGAGACAGAGCGAGCTGCACCACGTCGGGGAAAGGACGCTGTTCCAGGTGGTGGCCGTTCAGAGACAGGAACTCCTGGAACTGACTGCGCACCTCGCTGTTCTGGGAGGACAGAAAAGTAAAAGTCCACTGGAGTCTGGTAAATGGAAACGACCAATGTCTTTGGACGGCAGAAGCTTGATCGCTGTGTAATTACTGGGTCTCCCACATAATTTTGTGAAATGATCATGTATATTTTTATATCCATATTTATCACTCAAACACTTCTGTTTTAGTTTGTAGTGATGCACTTTGTGACTCTTGAATGGTGGTGCATGAAAATAAATAAACTTATTTATCTCTAGAGGTGTGGAGGAGGTTGAAAATTACTCAAAAAACATTATGCACTGAGATTAAATTACTGTTGTCTCATAGAAGAACAATGTCCTCTTACAATACATGTCCTAGTTAATCGGTTGCGTAGCCCCACACGTCCCCACTTGTGTCTGATAAACCTTTATCAAATCTGCCCTCTCTCTTGCAGTGATGGAAATTGGAAAGGGACCAGGGGACAACCAAAATCCAGAAGGGCAAAACCACTTATCTTTGCAAAGGAGATAATCAGGAACAACTTTGGGGCAAAAATAACAGATGGTCACACTTTTTATTTAATTCACAAAGTTTCATGGAGAGGGCAAGAGGGACAGATGGACTTCTAAACTTGTATTTTCCCTGAGGGGAGGGACTTGTGTATTTTTATTTATATAATATACAGCTCACATTTTAATGAAAGGCTTTGAGCGACACAGTTACTTTCTGACCCTTCTATCATTTAAATCTTGTCTTGTGACCACACACACACACACACACACACACACACACACACTTTGTTTCATGCAAAGTAAAGTTGTATAATCTGCTGACCTCTTTGTCCAGAATTGGTCCATACTCCACATAGTCGTTGATGAGGTGCGCTGGACCCATTATCTTGGCCTTGATGCTGACCCAGTCCAGAGAAAACATGAGGGAGTAGAGCTCCTGGACAGAAAGACACCATGAAAAAAGACAGAGTTACAGTCATGGTAAAAAACAAAGCGAAGCTGAAGAAATAACGCTGTTGCCACATGTGGAGTGGCTGTCCACATCTAAATATAGTGCATGGGTATAAGAGTGAGGCTTGGATATATGCATTAAATGTGTATTACCATATTAAAAACCATATGTGGAGGGGCTGTGCATTGGTTGGAGACTTCAGGCATTATTATGGGGTGGTGAAAGAATCTTGGATGTTTAGAAGTGTATTCAAGAAGAGATCAGAGAGGTTTTCGGTAACTTAAAGAAATAAACTTCAGACCGAGCACTCTGCCTGTCTACTGGGAATTATTCCAGATAATAAGATGGAAGGAGATTTGATTTATTTATTGAGCATTCTGCTCTTAACAGTGAAGAAAATGACAGTTTCCTGGTTGTGGCCGCAGCCCACAAACATAATGCAATGGAGAGATGGGGTAAAGGTCTTTAACTATCAACTAATTCCAGGAAGCTCTTTCTGACTGTATGTGGATTGCATATCTGGAAATCAGCTTCACACTGTATTTTTAAGGGAACAAGGAAGTTCAGTGTCAAATATGGTGCAATTCGGACATGTGTTTATTTGCAGTGGCTCAATTACTGCAGGCCACTTTCAAGAAAACTGCAACTGGTATCACCAGAGGCCAAGAAAACCGCCCATTCCAAAAAGGCAGGTTTAGAACAGGCATGTCAAGATTACCTGCTGCGACAAGATATGTTTGCTAAAAGATAGTACATTAAGACTGGGAATGTCAGAGCTCTAACCAACCAGTTCTAATTTTCTTTAAATATCAAGTTTAAGTTTTATAAGAAAAATGTATGTTCCTTTGTTGTGTATATATATATATATATATATATATATATATATAAAAAAAGGCTTTTTATATCAAGCTATAAAACTAATTCCTAAAACAATAACATCACAACTGTGTGTGTGTGCGCGCATATGTGTGTCCGTGCGCATTTGTGTGCGTTACCTGGGTAAGGTTGGCTTTAGCCATGTGGTACGTCAGAAATCTGATCCAATAAAGACACTCCTCGTCTCCTGAGATGGGAGGACCGTTTCTGTAGTGCTGCTGATACTGACGCACCACTTTAGAGTGAAGACTCTGAAATTGGTCAAAAATATAAATGAATGTCTTGATGAGGATTAAATGTTTTGATTATAGCCACTTTGCAGTATGCTTGCCAACGCATCTATTGTAAATCCACGTCTGTAAATCAGATCTTAACGCTTGTTGCCGATTTAACAACACTTGACACTTTAGAGTTTTAGACGTCACCTCGAGCTGGGCACGGTTCTGCTCCACCAGGAAGTCCAGCTGAAGATCGTGGAGGTAATACAGGCAGGGTTTGTTGTGAGTGTCCACAAAAAGCAGGGACTTGTTGACAAACTCCTCGAGAATGTCCTCCACCTCCTCCAGCTCCAGGTCCCACAGAACAGACAACACCTGGGAAAAGGAATAACATGGTTTACCCTGTGTGACCTTTGAAAAGACTGGGAGATTTAGTTCTTCTATGGAGGAAAAAGAGAGAGACACTTCTTTCAGCCAAACCTTAGCTGGGATTTTAATGTCCTTCTCCATCACAGTGAGGTCCTTGTAGAGCTCTCGATGTTCGTCAGGCAGGACCTCGATGCTCGCAGCCATGGCTTGGTCCAGGGCGTCGTAGTCATAAGATGAGGACTTCCGTATACGCTTGAACTGCTTCTGCTGCAGCTGGCAGAGGTAGTAACGCCAGCGGTTGGGTTTCTCCTTGAGCAGGGCCCCGATCAAGGACACCACCAGAGGGGAGCCTACGGTGGTGGAACAGAGGAGAAAAACTGTGTTACAGCAAAATATGTCGGCAGAATCAGAGAAGGATGACTCAATAAATGCTTTTATTTTCTGGTGGTTTTAAAGGTTAATTTACATCACCAATTTTTGTAACACATATTAATGAGATTTTT